GATGTCCCATTCGGAAGTTTCAGCAGTCTCAGCAATCCCACTGGGAGCCATAAACTTTGGTAGATAACTCCTTCCCTTTCCAGCGTTCTACTACTGACATCTGTGTTTAAAATGCAACTAAAACTAGTAAATGGATCTGTGTGTGACTGAATCTTACTACGTCACCAAAAAAAAAAAAAAAGTCATAGTGATTTACACTGGGAATGATTCTTGAGAGCAAAATGCACTTACAGGTACAGTATTTGTTTTAATTTTTGGCTCTCTTGCATTAGCCTTTAACCTTTTGGGGTTTTTCTTGCTTAGGTGAAGCATTTCAAGCCTTAGACGAAGAGACATTGGAAGCAATGGCAAAACATGAGACTGAAGAAGACAAGATCTTCCAAATGTTTCAAGAGCAAATAGCTGCCGAACCAGAGCAGGTCAGATGGGGCAGCCTTAGAACTTGTGGGTTCTGGCACAGCATCCTGCTGCATCTGCAAAATGTTTCAGTGCCTTTCATACCTACGGTTAGAAATGGCGATGGGGATGCCCCCTCATCCTCCACACACCTTAACCAGCATACCCTAATCTTCCTTACGTGCAGGACTTGATTCATGCTGAAGTAAAAATTTAGCACCTGCTCATCTATCTCAAACAGAAATTGGTCAGGATGAGAAGGCACAGAGGCACTGAAGCCAGCTTGGTGGGGGAGGACCTGCCGGCCTCTGAAGTGGTTCTAACCAAAGTGGGTGGTGAACCATCGCTCTCTTCCCCAGCCTTTGACTCTGCTGGCTTTCCTTGTCAGCAGAACCAGAACTTCCAAGAGGAGCTCTGGCACAGTCACCAGCTGCATGGGGAGCAGGGGGGTTGGTTTGGCTTTTTTTAAAGTTGAAGAAATTAGTGATGGCTTTAAAATTTCAACTATTTAAAATAAGAAATCTCCCCCCATTTAAAATTTCAACTATTTAAAATAAGAAATCTCCCCCCATGCTATTTCTTGCTAACACAAGAGGCTGAAGAAAGCCATGTTGTCAAACAAAAACATGGTTCCTGGTCCCATTCAGAGGAAACACGGGCCTGAATCCTTAAAGGTGGTGGAGGAAGACATTCTCTCCACGTTTTATCTTGTAGCTGAGGGGTGAGGGTGCACATCCAGAAAGTAGGACACTTGGAGCCTGTTCCCTTGTCTGTTTGGGGTAGGTGCATCACCTCCCTCTCTGACCATCCCCATACTGACTGATCTGCATAAGAGTCCTCTTGTTGATAATGCCTGATTTGCTATATAAATATTTATAGTAACAGAACAACAAAGGATACAAATGTCTGAAAGTACCTCCTTCTTGGACATCAGGACAGTCCCCTTGCATTTAGATGCAGAAGTGCAAACAGAGCTGGGTTGAATTCCTGACTTTTCTGTACACTTCTATCTGCTGATCTATCAATCTGCTGTTCCGCCATCTCAAGGCTATAAAATACCTGGCCTAGCATTTCTAGGTTGCTTAGAGAATTCAGATCATAGCAATTTATCCCTGGATCGTTGAAAAAATGCTGTATGCATACTTGCATGATTCACATAGTTAAGAAAACTTATATAAAGAACCTGTCTTATTTAGAATACCGCATTTGCAACTGATAGACTTTGCCATGGGTATTACTTAAAGGAACTGATGTTTTTCTGCAACCATCTTACCGCTTTGTCTATGTCAATAAATACCAATTTTATACCAAGATGAAAAGACAGTCTTGAGAACTTCTGCTCTATTTCAGATTATTAGATACTGCAGAGGAGGAGAAGGCCCAATCTGGGTATCAGGTGACAATATTCCTGAAGAAAAAGATATCCCAAATTGTTTATGCGGTGCCAAAAGGATTTTTGAATTCCAGGTATGTAAATTCATTTAAAGATAATATAGGTAATGTAGTTCAGACTTAACAGGCTCAAATTGTATAGGTGTTGTCTTGTAGTTAGAGCAGGATAGTTGAAGTTACTGCAGACTAACTATGCTAAATTGCACAAAGCCCTTATTTACTATTTTAACTGCTATTTCCTGTAAGGCTTTCACATACAGAAGGTTAGGTTCCCGTATGATAATTTGCACCATCCGTAAAATGGTGCACTTGTGAATATGGAACCATCTCTTAAGTAATGGGAGTCTGGTATTGTATATTTAAAAAAAAAAAAGCCTGTATGATATGAATTGGAAATACGTCTGGCTGGAAGTATTCAGTTGTAGAATTTTGAATGCTAGGAGCATATGTATGGTGAATACACTTAATGTTATGCAAAGACAAAACATAGTTATGAAGGTAATTTCAAATGGAAGGAGGCTTACAAATCAGGCAACACTTAAATAAATAAAAATTCTGTAGATAAAATAAGTAGGGCCATGCGTTTCATTCCCTGTGCATCTACTACACTGTTTTGGGAATTCCAAATTGATTTTATTTGAGCTGCTGTGTTACTTAGTAGCTCTGATTGGGATTTTGCTGTAAGAGAACATAAATGAAGGCAGAACCCTCCTTTGGGAAGAGATGCAGGGAGAGGGTGGAGAGCTGTGGCCTGCCTCTAAACCCTTGTTCTTCCTTGAAGATTATGCCACAGCTCCTGAATCACCTTCAGGTTGACAGCCTTGGAGAGAGCATTGACTGGGGAACGCTGGTGGTATACACTTGCGCTGACAACTGTGGTGAGGGAAACAAATACCTGGAAGAGGTCATATGGAAACAAGACTTCTCTGCAGGCTCTATTTAACTTCCATCAAGTTACTAAGTTGAGTCATCTAAATAGAATATTTGCCTTATCTTAATGCATCTATGCACTAGGCAAACAGGTAATTGAACTAAAGTCACTGATATCTGTGTATCTTGTAACGGTGATAGGACTACTAAAAGTAGACCTTGGCAGCCTCTCTCTTCTGCTCCACAGGAGCTTTTACTTCAACCTGGTAATGAAGCCAGATGCATTTGTTAAGTGAGTTTCATTTCAGTCTGAATTCTGAATGTTTAAATAAAAATTAAATATTTTTGCATTGGTGAAAGTACCTTTTGTTGGTGACTGAACTTGAAGAACTTAGATTGTTGTCTGTCAGGATTTTCTTTGTGCTACCCAAAAATTAACATTAATTCACAGAGAAAAGCAGACTGCTGTAAGATCACTTGAGTGCTTAAGCTCAGGAGGTGTACAGAAGTCATAGCTAAGACAATGCTGCGTAGCCCTTCACTGTGAAACTTAAATCATAGAATCATAGAATGCTTTGGGTTGGAAGGGACCTTTAGAGATCATCTAGCCCAACACCCCTGCAGTGAGCAGGGACAGCTTTAACTAGATTGGGTTGCTCAGAGCCCCATCCAACCTGACCTTGAATGTTGCCAGGGATGGGGCCTCTACCACCTCTCTGGGCAACCTGTTCCAGTGCCTGACCACCCTCATTGTAAAAAATTTCTTTTTAATGTCTAGTCTAAATCTATTCTTTAGTTTAAATCCATTATTCCTTGTCCTGTCACAACAGGCCTTGCTAAAAAGATTCTCCCCATCCTTCCTGTAGGCCCCCTTTAAGTATTGGAAGGTTGCAATAAGGTCTCTTCACAGCCTTCTCTTCTCCAGGCTGAACAACCCCAACTCCCTTAGCCTGGCCTCATAGGAGAGGTGCTCCAGCCCTGGGATCATTTTGGTGGCCCTCTTCTGGACCCGCTCCAGCATGTCCATGTCCTTGTGCTGAGGGCCCCAGAGCTGGACGCAGCACTCCAGGTGAGGTCTTACCGGAGCAGAGTAGAGAGGCAAAATCACCTCCCTCGACCTGCAGGCCACGCTCCTTTTGATGCAGCCCAGGATACGGTTGGCTT